GTACTGGTACAATGAAAGATACATTGATCAATGGAAAAGAATTGAAAATCCAGAAATTAACCTACCCACACACAGCCAACTGATTTTCAACAAAGTGCCTAGGTATATTGCATGGGGAGGAGATAATCTCTTTAACAGATGCTGCAGGCAGAACTGGAAAGTGATATGTAAAAGACTGAAACAAAACCTTTACCTCACACCCTATACAAAAACCAACTCAACATGGATTAAAGACCTAAATGTGAATCTCAAAATTATGAAGGTCACCAACGAAAAAATAGGGACAAATGTGAGGGCTCTAATTCAGGGCATAACATTGGTCACCGATGGGGAAGGGGGGGAAAAACAGCAATGAAGTTGGGGTCTGAGTCCGACCACATTCAGTAGACTCCTGTGAACCCGGGTGGAGAACTGGATGGCCAGCAGTACAGCAAGACCCAGGGACTCCTGGGCCCAGAGGTAGTGACATGGCCACAGAGGACTAGAGCAGAGAGTGAAGTGTCTATAGTTGATACGAAGTGAGGGGAAATGCACAAGAACACCCATATTTGCAGATAGTACCCACTTGACCTGGCTTTGATGGCTGGATGATCAGAACTCGACTAGAAGAAAAAAGAGGGAAGAAAAAAAGAAAGAGTAACCCACTACAATTTGATGAACTTTACCTATACTTATGGATGTAGTAGCTTAAAAAAGGGAACAAATCTTTACAGCAAGGATTACTCCCATCCCCTTGGTACACAGGGTTGACAGGGATGGGCAACTTGGATACTGACTACCCAAAATGTAGGGCAGGGCGCTATGAAGGCAAGAAGTGACTGGCTTACAAGCTTTCAAGACAGAGCCTAGTTCCATATGGGGAAAGGGTAGATAGAATCTCCACTGAATGATTTCCAATCTATTGGGACTCAGCTGGCAAAAGGAAATGGGGATAAGACTCTTGTGGTACAATAGTGAATAATTGCCATCAGAACTGACTGTGAGGATTGGAAATGTAAAGGTAGATATTTTGTAGCAAAAGGAGGGGAGTGGTTGATTTTGCAGCCCAGGAGCAGAGGTCCCTGGGACCATCAAGTGAGAAGAGCAGAGAATGTGACCCTACCCAAAGAGACAGTGACACCAGGAATGGAGACAGAGACAATGATGTGGAGAGATGGAGTGGCTGGGGACACTGGACTCAGGGATGGAGAGGGGCTGTGTGCTGATGGCCTGGGGGGGGCGGGGCCTATGTGATGTACCCTTTGGTTATTTGATGATCTATGGAGGTGAAATGAAATACGATAGGATGAATGTAAAACTGATGCTCTTCCATGTAAACCCACATAAGTCACAATAAAAACTTTTTTAAAAAATCAATTTTTAAAAATTCAAAATCTGAAAACTTTGAAATCACTAGGAATTTGTCTTATGTAAATGTAAAATTGTTGAATGTTAGAAAGAAGAGGGTGGCATTATGGGCAGACACAAAGGAAACGAAATAAGTTTAATTTGGTGCTACTTTGTAGCACTTTCACATGAAAGCAGGTAGGCAGCCTCCTTCTCTATCTTGATATCAAATGAGTACAGACTAATAATAATAGTGATTTCAGGCTTACTTACTGAGCACTCTCTAGATGGTGAGCGCTCGTCTAAGCAGTTTATATTAACTTTCTTAATCCTCATAATAACCCTACTCGTTAGGTTCTGATACTGTTATTACACTCCACATTGTAGAAGATGAAGCTAAAGCAAGAATGCCAGAATTAAACATCAGGAAACCTGATTCCAGAACCTGTCATCTTAACCACTGTTGTTAAGTGCCAAGGAGTCATTTCTGACTCATAGCAACCCTGTGTAAGGTTTCCAGGGACCAACTGGTGAGTTTGAACCCCCAGCCTTGTGGTTGAAACCAACCTTGTTGTCCAGTGCTTTATCCTACAGCACCACACCAGAATTCCAACCACTGTTGTTGTTGTTGTTAAGTGCCTTCGAGTTGGTTTTGACCCATAGCAACCCTGTATAGGGTTTCTGAGGAGCAGCTGGTGAGCTTGAACTGCTGACATTGCAGTTCAAATGGCTTTGCAGTCTGGAGCGTTAACCCACAGCACCACACTCCATAGTACATAAAATTGTAAGAGGCTCATCAGAGACAAAGATGACCTTGCCATACTGAAACTAACAAAATTGGAATCAATTCATAGTGAAGCTTTGCAATAAACAGAATAAAAACTGTCTGGAGCTGCTTGTTCCAAAGACAGATCCTAGATTGGTTTTGTTTGTTTGATTTTTAAAGATATGACAAGCAATGATGAAAAACTGAGAAGGAGATCTTGGGGGAAGGGTTATGCTGGATGGGTGGAATGTGGAACAGCCCATGGTGGCTGTGATTGGGTGCATCCACAACATGAGACAAGACAGAGGAAAGTTAGCACCAAAAGATGCTTTCTTTATCCTAACATGTGGCAGAGACTTATCCTGGATGCAGGTTCAGATCTTTGCTTTGCTTTTATAACTACAAAAAGGGAAA